GTTGCTGTTTCCTCATTCTCGCCCTACCCTACGAATTCTTCCCCATCCTCCTCAGCTCTTTTTGCGGAGGCGCTTCTGGGGGCTTCACGGAAGTTGCTCAGGCTTTCGTAAGACTTTCTGGAGGCTTCCTGGGCGGCTCCTGGAGGTGTCTTAGGGCCATCTTGGGCCGTCACGGGGCTCTCCTAGGCAATCTTGGAACCTTGTTGTGCCGTCTTGGGACTCTCTTGGACTGCCTGGAAGCCCTTTCGGATGGTTTTGGGACGATTTCCGAGCCTCCCAGGCGGTCTCGGACGCCCAGAAGACCGAAGAACAGGGCATCTCCAAAATCTTGCAAAAACCATTGCAAATCAATGTTTTTCTGCATTTTGGAAGCCTCTTAGCGGTATTCTTTGGGTCGTCTTCGGGCGTCAGGTGGGTGTCTGGGGCCTCTTGGGGCCCCCGGTGGGCGTTCGGCCGCCCTCCTGACCGATTTGGGCCCGTTGCCTAAGCCCAGCAAGGGCTTCCAGGAGCTCTGAAACGCTTGGGGGGCCTCCTGCAGGGGCGTCCAGGAGGTAACCGGGGCCACGGATCTGGGGGGTCCACAGGCTCCCGGGGACCCGGGATTCGAGGGGCAGATTTCGGGGGGGTAGGGGGGTTTTGGGTAATAGAAACGCATGGGTGGGAGAAGTGTATATAAAGGAAAAATGTACACATACAAACATACATACATACATACATACATACATACATACATACATACATACATACATACATACATACATACATACATACATACATGCATGCATGCATGCATGCATGCATACATACATACGTGTATGTATATATATATATATATAACACCCAGGCACGAGCCCTGGGGGCCCAGGGCTTGGGGCTCGATGGCGCATGGGGGGACCGGGGGGCGCAGGGGCCCTGCCGGGGCGCGGCAGCTCTCAAAGATCGCCCGAAGACGGCCCCGGATCGCCAGAAATGGCGCTTCCAGACCGCGAAAGAGCCTGTTTTTTTTATTCCGGGCCGATTACGGCCGTCATCTGGGGGGGTGGGGGGCCGATGACGTCACGTTTCGCGCCCGCGGCGTCGTCCGGGAATGTCTAGGAATGACCGACGATGGGTAGCAGCAGCATGTAGTTGGCGATCTGCACCACAGCGCCTGTGTACGCCACAGTGCCTGCGTGCACCACAGCGCCTATGTACACCACACCGCTTACGTACACTACAGCAGCCGCGTGCAACACAGCGCCAGTGCGTGCCACAGTGCCTGCGTGCACCATAGCGCTTGTGTACACCACGGCGCCTGCGTACACCACATCAGCCGTGCGCAACACAGCACCAACGTACACCACAGTGCCCGCATGCACCACAGCGCCTGTGTACACCACGGCGCATGTGTGCACCAAGGCAACCGTGCGCAACAGAGCACCATTGTTGCATATAGGCTTTTAGAAGAAATCCTTCTGACAACATGGAGCGCCTGTGTATTCCACTGAAAAGGACTCTTGGATATAGGATTTTGAAAAGAATCCTCATGGACAGGAACGCCGCTGGAATCTACGAGTCCTCCCGAGTCCTCCCGCATCATCCTCACCATTCCCATATGCGACAAAAAACTCCCCCTGAATTTGGCCGTGGGTGAGCCAACTGGACTGATTCAATGGACCATTCTGCGGTGCACGCTGAGATGCGCACGTGCGCTGTAGCGCCGACCCGCACGACGGGGGAGACGGTGAGGGAGGAGGAGGAGGAGGAGGACGAGGAGGATGAGGAGGAGGAGGAGGAGGAGGAGGGGGTGGAGGTGGAGGTGGAGGTGGAGGTGGAAGAGGAGGACGAGAGGAGGAGGAGGGAAGAGGGAAGAACGTCACATTCGACCTATACGACCACCCTGCGGGTGATAAGGAGGTTCGGGGGGGGGAGGAACCAACATCTCACTCGACCGGTCTCACTATCGATCTCACTATCGATCTCACTATCGGTCTCGCTCGATCGACCTCACTCGATCGATCTCACAATCGATCCCACTCGATCTATTTCATTCGATCGATCTCACAATCGATATGACTATCGATCTCACAATCGATCTCACTATCGATCTCACTATCGATCTCACAATCGATCGCACATTCGGTCTCACTATCGATTTCACGATCGATATCACAATCGATCTCACAATCAACGTCATCATCATCATCATCATCATCATCATCATCATCATCACCAACACCATCGTTGTCAATGTCATCTGCATCAGCATCATCATAATCATCATCGGGACACCATCATGATCACCTCATCATCATCATCAGCATCATCAGCATCACCATCATCATCATCATCATCGGGACACCATCATCGTCACCGTCATCATCATCATCATCATCAACATCATCATCACCAGAACACCATCATCATCATCGGAACACCACCATCATCATCATTTTCATCATTTCATCATCATCATGAACAATATCATCAAAAATACCATCATTGGGACACCATCATCATCATCATCATCATCATCATCATCATCATCATCATCATCAACACCAGCATCATCATCATCAACATCATCATCGGGCCACCATCATCGAAACCATCATCATCACCACCATCGTCATCAGCATCGGGACACCATCATCATCATCATCATCATCAACATCAGCATCAGCATCATCATCATCATCATCATCGGGCCACCATCATCAAAATCATCATCACCTCATCATCATCCTCATCATCATCCTCATCATCAACGGGACACCATCATCGTCATCATCATCAACATCACCCTCATCGGGACACCATCATCATCATCACCATCATCATCATTAACAGCACCATCATCAACCTCATCATCATCAACATCATCATCATCATCATCATCATCATCATCATCATCATCGGGACACCATCATCATCACCACCATCATCATCATCAACATCATCGATCATCATCATCATCATCATCATCATCATCATCATCATCATCATCGGGACACCGACGGGACACCGGCGGGACACCGCGGGCCACCGGCCCCCGGAAAAGAACCATTTGGTCCGGCCGCGCCTCAGCCGGAGGCGGGACACCGGCGGGACACCGCGGGCCACCTTCCCCCGGAAAGGAATCAGTTGGTCCGGCCGCGCCTCAGCCGGAGGAGACTTTCTTTTCGCCCGCCCACGCATTTTCGCCTCGCCCGCACGCACGGCACGCACGAACACGAAACCGAAATCGATTTCCCGGTAGGGGGGCTCTCCGTTCCATTTCGATCTCACCCCCTCACCTCCGATTATTAGCACTTCCCTGGCGTGGTGTTCAGCTCTCCGCAGCAGATCCTCACTGACATGCTCCTTCTACCTGTCTCGTGCACGCAGGCACTGCAGTGTACACCAGCGCTGCGTTGCACACGGATGCTGTGGTGTACATAGGCGTTGTGGCGTGCACAAGTTTTGCGGTACACGCAAGCTTTGCGGTTTACAATGGCACTGTGTGTGTTACACATAGTTGCTGCGGTGTTCACATTCGCTGTGGTGTACACTGACGCTGTGGTGCACGCGGGCACTGTGGTGTATACAGGCGCTGCGTTGCACACGGCTGTTGCGGTGTTCACAGGCGCTGTGGTGTACACGCGCGTTGTGGCGCACGAGAACACTGGTGTACACAGGCGATCTGGTGCAGATCGCCACCTACGTGTTGCTCCTACTTGGACTCGGTCATCCCTGGGCATTCACGGACGCCGCCAGCGCGGAACGTGACGTCATCTTGGGGCGGCGGGGCCGATGACGGCCGCTATCCCGGAAAATAAAAAACAGGCTCAAAACGACCAGCGACGGCCCGAAATTACCCCTGAACTTGCCCCTGATTATTCAAGAGGCCTCGAAGACGCCCCAGGAGGCCTCCAAAGAGGCTTCCGAGAGACCTCCCAAGGAGCCCCCCGAGGCAAATTTCCGTGATTTTCCTCACGTTTGTTTGACGGATTCTCGAGTTCTCGCTTTTCAGTTTCCCGACGCTCCAAGACGGCCCAAGAGGCCCCAGTGTCCGCTCCAAGACAGCCCAAGAGGCCGCGAAGACGGCCCCAAGACGGCCCAAGAGGGTCCCAAGACGGCGCCAGAGGCGTCCAAGATAGCCCCAGAGGGCCCCAAGACGGCCCTATGAGCTGCCCAAGAGAGGCAACACGAATCCGAGCCTTCCACTCCGAGAGGCTCTCCGGAGGCCCTAAGAGGCCCCAAACTACGTGAGAGTCGCGCCCCAGAAGCCAAAATCCTTCGTACATTCAACCATACTCGCGCCCCCGAGGCCACAATGCGCCTAGGTTACACAATAGTCGCATCCCCGCAGCAATAAATCCTTGCAATGGCCGGAGGGTTGTCGTCCCTCCTCTCGCACCGATCGGGCGGACGGCAGGTGGGGCAATGAACGCGGGGGGGTGATTGTTGCACGAAAGTGGCCTTGAAGGATTTCTAAACTGCCACACTGCAGGCCCAAAGGGTGCACGCAAGGCGCGCGTCTTCACCCCGCGTTTACTGCCCGCCGTTCACGAACACCTAAGACCCCCCATCTCTTGAACGGGCGGCGGAGCAAGCTTCCGAGGTTAGCGAGCGCCGCGCACAGTGGAAAAGGTGTCGACTTGGCGCCGCATTCTGACCGCGCAGCACGCAGCACCAGCAGCAGCAGGCGTGCCACGAGGGGGCCAACTCGCTAAATAGATTCTCTTCCTGTACATGGATCGGCGCCGTTGTCGCCACCTTCTTCATACACATACTTTCATACCCTGCACCCCCTCCTCCCCAGGCGTCAGCCGTCGAGCTTATTTCACAGCGTGCCCCCCCCAGAGGTCTGGAACCCTGCCCCGGGAGTGGCTTGTCGCTGTGAGCTGTGTGTTCCAGAGGCCGGTCGCGGCCAAAGCCTTCCGGCGGGACTTTGTCCCATCGGAGCGATGTCAGGACCTTCCTGCTCCTCCCCTCCCGCCCCCCTTTTCTCCTCCTCCTCCCCTCCTCCCCCGGCAAGCATGGGCGCGGGAGGCTACGGCGGCCCGCCCCCCTTCAACGCCAGCCCGTTCCCAGGCTTCCCAGGCGGGCCTGGGGGGCCCGGGAGCATCCAGAAGAGGGCGAGGAGAGAAAGCAGGAGGAAGGGAAGGGGTGATGGGGGAGATCGCTTGTCCTCCTGGGGGCACATAGAATCGCACCCTGTGGCGTCTGCATATCCGAGATCCCAAGGAGCCGTGATGCGGGGCAGCGCCCCTCTCCAGTGGAGAGAACATGGTAGAATGCAGAAAGAAGAGGAGAAGGGGACAAGGTGTCTGTGTGTTGAGGGAGAAGGAGAGATTTGTAGAGAGAGAGAGGGGAAGGGGAAGCGGAAGGGGAAGGGGAAGGGACTGTTTTGCAATGACTCTCGGGGCTACGCGGGCGCACTTCATGAGTTTCTTGAGGAATTCCTGGGGCGTCGTGGGGCGTTCCGGGGGGCCTCTTGGGCAGCCTGGCAGAATATTGAATTGATTTTATGGTCCTCCAGGGGGCCTTTTGGTGTCATCGGTCGACGGTCCTGGGAAGCTGTTGCACCACAACCTGGCCATTTTGAGCGCTGCGAGGGGCCACCATCATGGGATCCAAAAGCTGGGGCAGCAGAACCCTGATGAGCCCAATGCTTTCGAACAGCGCCTCGCTATGCATGAGAGAACGCGTTTCGTGGACGCTTGCTCGAGAAACATCCAGCGATACGTCGGAACCGCCCCCCACCCCCGAAAACAAAAAGAAAAAACAAAAACATCATTCGGCGCGCCCAAAAAACGGGGGATGCCCCCCGCCCCGGGCACCAGCCTCTCTAAGCCCCCCGCACATGTCAGCAAGCCCCCGGTGCAGACGGCACAGTCCCTGGCGCAGGCCAGTAGCATGATGGAGGCTTGCGCTGAGGCGCTGCGGCTCAGGCAGGCGTATGGCCGAGGCCACATGATCATGGCATGATTCGCCTGGCATGGTCGCCCATCAGTGTTGGCCAACGCGTTACTCGTCGCATCTGCGGTCGCAGAGAAAGTTATCCTCCAGCAGGCGGCAAGCTCCTCCCCCATACCCCCGCCCCCCCCCAGCCTCGTTCCGTTCTCATCATCCCGCGCTCCCTTCTTCCCCTACCCATGCCGCCTTCCACGACAGCGGAGGCGTGCCCGCGAACTTCGGTCAGATGGGCATGCCCCCGCTGGGCCGACAGGGGGATGGGCAGGGACAATCGCCAGGGCGTTGTTGCATCCTCTTCTCTCTTCATTTTCCTCCTCATCCTCCTCCCCCTCCTCATCATCATCATCATATTTCTCTCTTCCTACTCCTGCTGCTGGAATTCCGCCTCCGTGGTTCCTCATCCTTCTCTTTCATCCCCCATCTTCCTCAATCATCCCCCCTTCGCAAAATCTGCCTGATCAGTGCACGCTGTTATAGTTTCGCGCGGGTGCGGTCTGATTGCGTTCCTCGAGAGCGGGGCGGGGTTGCCGAAAAGGTGGGGCGTGCCAACCACCGCCACGACCGCTTGCGAGTTGGAGGGTTGGGGCGTGAAGCCTCTGCGAGGCCTCCCAGCGAGGAGATTGGGGTTCGAGCTTTCGCGTTCGCGTCGCGAGTGGCGCGTCGTGAGTGCGAAGGTGCGCGCGCGGCTCAGTCTGGCTGGGCAGGGCCCCGAGAGGGTCGAAGCGCCCGCTCGACACCGACAAAGTCATCGCCGTGATTTTCTCTTCAGACTTGGCTGCCTCAACTTGGTCGAGTACTCGGGGCCATGCTCAGGAAGCGTCCTGATCGTCCTCCTCTTCCACGGTCGGCCGCCCCTAGTGTGGTGGTGTCGTGGCGTCATGCCGTCGTCATGCCGTGGTGTCGCGGTGTCGCGACGTCGCGGTGGGAATCGATTGTGAACAGGCGGGGGGCGATTTTGTGCGACGTAGGTATCGACTGAGTTCGTTGCAAGCCTTGTGCAACTACGACCCCGCCTCCGCATCCGTTGACTGCAGGTTTTGTGTCGCTTGCACGTCCATTGTGAACCAGTGGTGTACGGTTTGATTCGGTCATGTGAAAGTGATGGTCGACTGCAGACCATGTGTGAGTCCAACGTGAATCACGTGTGCAGCGGGGTGTCGTCGTGTCACGTTTCGTCGTGTTGTGATGTCGGAGTGTCGTGGCTTCGCGCGCCGTGGCGTCGTAGTGGAATCGTGCCGAGATGTCGTGGTGCCACTATTTGATTGCGTCGTGGACCGATGGCGAATTCAGCGTGCACGCATTTGGAAACAGTTGCCGTCTGGTCGTAGGCCGATCGCGAACAGGCCGCGAGTCAAGAAGAATTTGCAGGTTGGCAATGTGTGTACAGGCGTGGTTGGATACATGAGCCAAGCGTAGGTTAAGTGCCAGTCGTGAGTCACTTGATAAGCTGGTGTGTGGCAATCATGTACCAGCTGCGGGCCCAGTTTGAAGCGAAGCATACCATGCCGGGCCCGAGTGTAAGTCAAGTGTCCAGGGGTCCATAAACCAGGACAGTTTTAACCAGGATTTTGAAGACGACACCTGGGGGGAACGAATAAAGGAGAATGTTTCGACCCACGGCTGCTGTTTTCTCGGTCTGAAGCGTGGACCGAGTGTGGATGTTTTGTGGGAAGCACTTGCGAAGAAATCGCGCATCATGTGTAAACATGTTTTGAAGCCCTGACTAGGTCCGACTAGGTCTGACTGGCCGCGTATGCTTTGGACGGATTGAGGGATGACGAAGGAAGAAAGATAGGACTGGTGGGTGAGAGGGCAAGGAGGAAGAGGAGGAGGAGACGAAGACCATACGGCAGACCGTAGCCATGTTGGTTCCAAGGTTGAAACCCCGAGCCACGGGAGCTTCAACGTTAGATTTCCGCTCTGTGCAACTAACATCGAGCATCAGTTGGGGCACAAGGCCCACGGCCACACACCACGATCCTCACGGGAGCTCCCGCGCCACGTGGGTTCCGTTCAGGCTTCGTCCAGACTGAATTCTCTTTGGGTGCCGATACCACTGTAGCGCGCGATGGGTGTTTGCCGCGATGGACATTGCCGACGTGGATCGACCGACTGCTGCGCTGGAGGCGGCTCCGACATTCCCATAGGAAGAAGTTCAGCATTCAACGCTGCCAGTGGAGGACACAGCCATTCGCCGAATTTCGGAAGCGGAGCTGAAGATGATTTCGTTTGCGCTGATGAGCGACACGAAAGGAAATACATCCGCAGGGGCGTTGCTGGTCGCGCACATGGTGCCAATCAGGAGCGTCAACACCGTGCTGCCAAGGGCCAATCGAAAGGTGGAATGCGACATGACGATCAAGTATTTGGAGGTACTCCCGGCAGCATTGCACCTGAGGTGGGCCTCCAAGGGTACGTGCACGACACCAAAAGACAAACTGCTCTTCGCCATCACACACATGCAGGCCAGTGTCGCTGGGCTGGCGTCGACGCCCCATGCTTCGCGGAGCAGCTTGTAAGCATAATGGAAAACAACTGCCGTTCAAATTCAAGAACGCTGGAAGCTCGTGACCAGAGAACTGTTCATCTGGAGAAGCAGGTGGCCCACCTCACCAAACAGAAGCCGCCCACGGAGGTGGCATCGCCGAGCTTTGAGAGAGGGGCCGACCCGACCATCATAGCGGCCCGCTTGCCCACGCCGGTCACCAAGTCGAATGTGAAACCTGCATTCGCGAATTGATTGGCCCGCGCAAGTTGCTTGAAGAGGATTACGAGATCGAAGGAGGTGCAGCTTCCAAACGCGTTGCTGTCAGTGTTCGCAGCGCACCAACGGCGGCGGCGAGGACAAACGACACCGCTCTCAACGGCCGGCGGCGGCGGCCATCAAAATCAGCGACAAAGAATGGATATTGTTCTTGGACAGTGACACCACGCAGGGCCAGAGGAAGGAGCCCCATGCGTCGCAGGACATGAACCCATCACGCATTCGAAAGGAGTTGGCGCTCAAGCGCGCCAAGAAGGCGATCGAGGAGTGCATGCCAGACCGCCGCGTCCTCATGAGTAAGGAGCGCGGAGAGTTATCGCGCCAGCGAACGCCGTTCTGCAAAATCACTGCGCGTCAAGGTCCGCAGCCAAGTTCGAGTGGGACCGCCCCACGTCGCAGAAGCTGGGCATAGGGGTTCCAGCAGATCGAGCCGACCGTCGCACAGGCCGCCGCTGGCCCAGAGACTTTCCTGAGATTCTGGGCTGACCAGTCTGGGCGCCAGCGACCGCTGATCCTCAGAAGTTGGAATTCTCGTTCTAACTTCCATCGGAAAACTACCACTACGAGATGAGAAACTGCCTCCTCCTCGTTGGGCCTACGGTTGGCGTGCACAGGCGCGCGGCTCTGTTCACGAGTCACGCGATATCCTTTATCACCAGCGCCCACGGCACGAAGCCGCCCCGTCTCCCCCCCCCCCCCCCCGCGCGACCGACTGCAGCAGGCGGCGCCATCACCTTATACCCCATCTTCCGCTTCCTCGAGCACCCCCCGCAAGTCTGCCACGAGGTTCCCATCGCAGGCAGGGCCCTGCGGCTCTCCCTGCAGTCCCCTAGAGGCTTCCAGCTGGACCACAATAACTTTCACGTTGGCGGAGTCTTTCCTGACGCTCGGTCGACGCCGGCGAAATGCATTCCGGGTGATGTTCGGTTGCCCAATCTCGGCCCCATGATATATATATATATATGTATATATATATAAAAATATATCATACTTTATGTATATACATACATACATATGTATATATACATACATACATACGTACATACATATCTATATATATATATAGTGACAGTCCAAGGCGACGGCGTTTTTCTGCGGGCCCCCCCTCTCCCCGGTCGCGCTTCCTCATCGGGGCTTTCGGAATGCGAGGTTCGGGGTCGGGCCCAACCGGTTCACGAGCGGCGCGGAGCCGCGGGGGCTCATCGAGATCGGGGCGCCAGAGCCGATGCATTTTTGCAAATCGCCGGAATCCTTGCTAGCGATCGACAGGATCTCCGACCGGTCACCCGGCCGGGCCCTCGCGCGCCCATCGCGCGGCGCACGAGCAATTGGCAGCCCAGAGGACCATCATCGAGCGAAGCTCTCGGGCCACTCGGCAATCGCCGCCGCCATCCAGGCAAGGGAACCCGCAAACCCTTTGGAGCGCCCCATCCAAGAGGGGGCAATTTAGAAAACGGGCCACTGTGATTTCATCGGGTCTGTCTTTGAACAGGCGGGACTTTCGCACCCGAGCGCGCCGTCGCTGCTAGAGTTTCACAAGCTGGCGATGAGAGGGGCTGCTCGCGCGGCCAGAAACGCAATGACATCGACGACCGACGTCGACGCTCACGAGATGGATGAGTGCCGAATCGTCCGGGCGCGCGCCGAATAAACGCGGAACGTCGCCCTCGCCTCCCGCCCCCAACAGTCTCACGAGTTAGCTAGAAGATCTTTCGTCGTCGGCCCGCTCGTTAACAGCGGCAAGTTGGCGTTGGCCAAGAAGCTCGGCGCATCGTTGAACGCGTCAGCACGCGGCAATCCAGAGCCGAACTGTTTCCCCGCCATGCCCTTCAGGAACGCGCCAAGCCACGCCGTCGGATGAGGCGCCTGGAACGCGGGGGACAGCATTGGGTTACTATGACTTCAAACTGCGCCTTCAAGGTCTGGCAGTCCATGACAAAATCATCACCGACCCCCACAAAAAGCTGGACGGCTTGGGACACGCGCGGGCACCAATATCTCGGGCGCGCGACGTAGACACGGCTGTTGCAGGGAGCCACCTTGCCAGATTCAAGCCCGCCGTCACCCTCTGGGACCTGCCGCCGCCCGGCGCGAGAGAGATCCGACGCCGCCTTGAACGCGCTCCGAGGAATCCCCGCGGCCCCGATTCGCTGCCGCATCAAGCACGGCGACGCAACCCGTTCGCGGGGGAAACATTGGAGCTGGCCTTTCGGCGGCCCCTCGAGGGGCCCCCATTGTCGGGCTTAAACGACTTCAAAGGCGTTGGGATCATGTGGGAGGTGGGGGATCGAGGAGATGATGCGGTTAGCAGTAGGGCCTCCCAGACTAGACCGCTCGGTGCGAAGACCAGCGATGCAAAGGCCCCCGCGGCTGTCTGCACGTTTGAATTGCCCAGAAAGCCCCCCTGTTTTGCGGGCCCGGCCCAGCGCGGCCCCATCCCGGGGCGAATTGCCAGGGTGAACGTTGCAGAGCTGGGCACGGCCCAACGCGGCTTCATCCCAGGGCGAAATCCCGGGGGGGAATGCTTCGGAGCTGGACACGGCCTCGCGGGCCAATGGGTTGAAAGCGAAGGCCTGGATCCGGAAGTTGACGCTTGTCGCGTTCCATTTCGGACAAGCATCCCGTTTCGCAGGAGTGGATATTCCGAACCTTCGGTTGCCTCTCGCATCCGCCGCCCCTCCTCTTCTGTCAGTTTAATTTATCTGCGATTGCGGCAACTGCATTGGCCAGCTCTCTTTCGTGCAGGCATGAATCTGCACGGTAACATCTGGTAGAATTAAGGGGCGCCCAGCGTCTGGAGCCCTCTACGCCACCTCTTCACGCCCGTTCCTTAGCCACTTTCGAGCCGCGACCGAAGACCGCGCGCGCGGGCTGGCGCGCGATTGCGGTGGCGACCTAGGCGCTTGCATATGTCAGATCATTGCCCTGCGTTTGCTCCACGCAGCGCACCGCGCGGCGGCCCACGCTGCGGGGCCGCATTTCTAGATCACGAAATGCCGCGCTGTTCCCCCGCATGCTCCGTGCACCCCAGTCGCGGCCTCCGAAATCTGAGTCTGGCCGGAGGAAAAGGAACGCCCAGAATTGTTTCGGATGTGCACGAGCCCGAGCACGACGCACCCAGGGGCAATGATGGGGCACCAGCCCGCGGGAGCGCCACGGCCCGCACCGCGGATCAAGCACGATTCAGGAGGGAAAGAAACACACAGACACAATTAATCGGCGATTCCCAGAAAATATGGGAAAATATGGGAAGTGGGGGGGAAGACAAAAACCCAGAAAATATGGGAAAAGATGGGGGAACATTTTATTTGTGTGTATTTATTTGTGTGTCCCAGTTCCCCTTCAACGATGAGAGAACGCAGCGCTCGGCCGCCACCCGCGCCCCGCAAGCCGCGTCGGCTCGCCCCTACAGCGAAACGGTGGCTTCGGTTCTCTCTCACATCTCGCAGCTTTTTGCCCGCCTGACTTCTCCGCGAAGGTATGGCATGACTGCGCAGCGATAGTGTTCCCAGCATGCACTGCTAACTCTTTCGCGCTGACTGCTTCGGCCTCGGGAGCTGGGGCGGACCCAGACCCGTCATTGCAGCAATTACAAATTTGGCCGCCCGCATGCGCTGGATGCTTGGGGCCTTCAAAGATTGGCCAAAGTTGCGCGACGAGCTCGGGGATCTGGCGTTGTTGAATTTTGAATTGGCCAAGGTCTACGCGGGCCAACTCTGCCCCGACTTTTGGAACGCGCCCCTGATGGCCCAAACGCTGTCCGAGGTCAGACTCAGCCACCCCCCGTGTCCTGCCTGGAAATATGTTGGCCAGATAACATTCGAGGCCAGCGAGGACGCCGAAAAATATCCCAGAGCCAAATTCCAGCGCGCGCTTGCCCGCAAATTAAGATTGCAGCTGCACCCGCCCTCACTACAATCCACGTCCGCGGCCCGGCTCAGAAAGTGGTTGGTTCACCGACGCGAATCTTGCTTGTTCCAGTGTAAATTGGGGAGATGTACGAGCTGATGTACTCAAGATGCCTAGCCAATGGCCCAATGCTTCCATCAAGACCCTTTCCGGTGGGTGGGTCACGGGCACCCGCTTCCATTCTCCGTTTCAAGGCCCCCGACATTGTCAGTCACTACCTGCGTTATCCTCGTTTCCTCCCTCTCGTTTCCTTCGCGGTTTCGCGTGGCCCCCCTCCGCGCGTGGTCTCTCGCCCCAGTTGCTGCATCCACTCGTCGCAACACTTTCAGAACTCCCCCCCGCGCCAGGGAAGGCCTTTCGCAGACGTCGTGCGAATTTGCCCCGCCGCAGGTTGAGGCCGCGCATGGGCGCGTTGGCGCTCTTTTTCATTAGCAGCCACGCGCCAGGAGATCAGACGGCTCCAGTGGGATCGGTGGAGCGGGCAGGGCGCGAATTTTGCTGAGCAACACCGCGTGCGAATGCCGGCCGCGGTCTGGCGGGGCATCAATGAGAGTCAGACGAGTCAGGCGATCTTGATGGGATCGGGAGGATGGTGAGGAGGAGACGGAGACGGAGACGGAGAAGGAGGGAGGGAGGAAGGAGGGAAGGAGAGCGCGAGGAGGCCCTGGTGAAGCAAGAGCCCTCTTGAGGACGCACGAAAAAGGCGCACGAGCAGACACCGGCGAGCCAATGTCGAGACGAGCGCGCACGGCACGACACGCGGGCAGGCCACGGCGCGCGGGCAAGGCGCGGCACGGCGTCGGCCCGCGGCGGCACACCTCCCGCACTTTTCAGCGCGCGGGCACGGCACGGACCACGGGCGCGCGCACGGCACGGCACGGCACGCGCGGGCGGCGCACTTTGTCCCCGCGGCACGCGGGCACGGCGCGGGCACGCGGGCACGACACGCCACGGCACGGCACGGCGCGCGCGCGAGGCGCGCACGTCCCGCCTTCTGGGACTGAGAAGCTGGCTCTCAGAGTGCAGCGGGGTCTCGCGCATCCGTGGCTACCCGGAGCCCGAGGCAACGTCAAAGAAACAGGGCACGCGCACTTCGTTGTCGGGTTCCGCCCTGCCCTCGCCGGGGAGGCGTCATGCCCAACCAGCAGATGTCTCAGCCGGGAGCCATGGCCTACGGCGTCGCGCCTGCGCAGCCTTACCCTGGGGAGGGGGCGGGATGCGACGAAGGAGCAGCAGCACAAGCAGACAGTTCCAGAGGTCCGCGCGGAGTGCACCCCCCGGCGGCGCCTCTGCCGCCGTTCCTGGCGCGCTCCGCGCGCCACGGGAGGAGAGGCGCAGTTCCTTCCGCCTTTCTGCGCACGGCCCGCGGCCCACGCTCGGGCACGCTCTCCCTGCCCTCGTCGCTATCGTCCAGGGAATGCGCCGAAAGCGGGGGTCGCTCGCCGAGCGCCGAGGGCGGCGAGAGAGCGTGCAGGGTGCCCTCTCCGCCCCGCAGGGGCGAGCGGGCCAGGAGCGGCGAGAGTGTGCCCCTTGCTGCGGCCCTCCGCGCGCTCCTGCCTCCCCGCCCTTCGGGTCTGTGGTTTCAGGCTTACACAGGAGAGCCGATCGGGCCGAGAGGAGCCACGAGGGTTCTGCGGTCGGGAACTTTGGCTCAGCGTGTCGCTCCGCCGGGTATGGCCCACCACGCTTCGGCGCGGCACGCTGTCCACTTCCCCGTCCCCGAGCGTCAACGTCCCGAGCCTTTCCCAAACTCCCGCCCCGCGGAGCGGAGCGACACGCTGTCCGCTTGCACAACATAGCTTGTCGCTGGGGCCGCCGTGGGTCGACACGCTGAGCAAGAGTTCCCGACCGTAGATGACGCATTTGGTTTGGACACTGTCCTGGGACTCTTACTCTTACTCCCCTGTGTTTCCCTCTCTGAGCCGCGGCGCTTTGAGCTTCTTAGCTCCCCTGTGTTTCCCTTATGCAGTGACCACCACTACCACCACCCTGTGTTTCCCCCTGGCTTGCATCCCCCTCCTCTCCCCCCTTCCATGACACCGGTGCCGTCGGCGTTACGCTCGAGATCTGCTGCTCTGCAGTCGCACTCGGGGCCATTGCCTCGCACCACCGTGGGAGCTTTCGCCGCCATCGTGTCGGTAATCTTCCAGGAGCCCCGAGGAACCATGACTGCATAGCAGAACCACGCGCAATGAAGGAACCAGGCCCAGACAGACAGCGAATCTGAGAGCCCTGACATGTTCGTGGGCGTATGAGCGACAGGTTTGCTCTTTGTCCTATGTGGTTTCCGAAGTTGGTGAGGGTGGTGTGCGTGTGACTGGGGATCAATATATGGTGACCCATGCGCCACATGGTGTCTGTGGGATGCAGGTTTGGACTCTAGACGTCAGTCTGCCACGACGTGAGCACCGCAGAGGAAAAGGCTTGGCTGGCTCGCTTCTCTGCTCACGCCATCCCTGTGCTGGTTGCTCGACCTGCGTGTGCTGACCGCCTGCACTTTCCGCTTCCAGGCCCCCAACGTCCTGATTTCATCAACACGTTGGGCTCTGGAGCTCTCGACACACATCTTCCGCGCGCAGTTCGCACCGTGGGCCCGCCCCTTTCGGGCCCCTCAGCGCCCAGATCCAGAATGCTCGACCACCCCGCTCTCTCCAGGACGGCAGAGGTCCAGGGCTCTAGCCGAGCTGTTCGCCGTCGTCGCTCGCCGTCCTCGCTCGCCATCGCCGTTGCCGACGCACGCCGCCGCCGCCGTTGTTCAGCGTCGTCGTAGCCGCCGCCCGCCGCCGCGGGAGCCGGGGAGCCGGACTCCCGCCGCCGCCGCCGCGGCAGTCTGCCGGCCCGCCGCAGCCGCCCATCGACCCCATCCCGCGCCGCCGCCGTCGCTCGCCACCGCCGCCGCTCGTCGTCGCCGATAGTCGTCGTCCTCCTCCTCCTCGTCGTCGTCGTCGCCGCTCGTCGTCCTTCTCGTCGTCGTCGTCGTCGTCGTCGTCGTCGTCGTCGTCGTCGTCGTCGTCGTCGTCGTCGTCATCGGCCGCCTCCCCAGCAGCGCGGGGGGCGCGGCAGGAGGTGCAGCAGGGCGCCTGCGCGGGGGGCTACCACGAGCAGGGGCGGCGCGGCGACGGCAGGGGGCGCGGCGACGGCGGAGGACGCGGCCGCGGCGACGGACGCGGTAGGCCCGGCGCCGCGGCCGCTCGTCGGCGGCGTCGTCGTCGCCGTCGCCTTCGTCGTCGTCGTCGACGTCGACGTCGTCGTCGCGGTCGTGGTCGTCGTCGTCGTGGTCGTCGGCGTCGTCGTCGTCCTGCTCGCCGCCGCCGTCGTCCGTCGTCGTCGTCCGTCTTGGTCGTCATCGTCGTCCGTCGTCGTCGTCGCCGTCGTCGTCGTCGTCGAATGCCCGAGCTTCAAGGGTCGAGGTTCTCGGGCGTTTCTGGGCCCTTCTCGGGGCCCCGTGGCGTCACAGGAGAGGCCTCGGAGGGGCTCGCGCGATCAATTCGGTTGTGTTCCGCGAGGCGTCTGTGAGGAGGCCGCGTCTGCTTCCTGTCTCGAGTTCTCGCGCTGTTCGCGGATTCCCTCCTGCGCATTGCGAAATGTCGCTACCGAGCAGCCCAGCTCGCTTTCTCACGATGTCATTGACACCTCTCTCTCTCCCCGTCTCTCTTCTCTATTTCTCTCTCTCTCTCTTCTCTCTCTCTCTCTCTCTCTCTCTCTCTCTCTCTCTCTTTCTCTTTCCTGTATATATAAATATGTGTGTAGTTCTCTGTTCCTCTCTCTCTCTCTATCTCTATATTTATCTTTCTATCTCTTTCCCTTCCCGTATGTACAAATCTAGATAGTCTCTCTCCCCCATCCACCCTTCCCCTGACAACCCTTCCCCTTCCCCCCACACGCACACACACACACACCCTTGTCCCCTGGTCCTGATCCTGTTCGCACACCTGATCTCGCTCCAAGTGCTGCAGTTCCCACTGATCTGATCCACAATCCTGCTTCTATACTGGTGCTACTGCTCCTGCTCCTGCTCATCCGCCCACTACCTCTGGTAGTACCTGCGTAAATCAGCAGGTCACCCATGGGGGCGCGAAGATGATCGCGCCTAGCGGACTGGGCGGGAGAGTTGCACTTCCTCGGGGAGGCCACGCGAGAGCGCGAACGAAATCGCGCCTCGCGCGGCGCGGAGCCCAGAGTGAGGCGACCCGGGCTGCTCCTGCTCCCGCTCCTCGCCCCGACGCCGGCCCATGACCCCAGGGGCGGCCCTGGCGCTGGAGGACCCGGCGGCGGCAGAGGTGGCAAAGCAGGAGACCGGAAGGGATGCGTCGGCAAGGCCGGAGGCGGCAAGGGCGGCGGCGGCGCCAAGGGCGGCGAGGGCGGCTGCAAAGGCAGCGGGGGTCGGATGCGGTGTCGGAAGTGTGGTGGCCAGGGGGAGGGGGTGCATTACCCGCAGACGTGTTCGAGCGTCGTCCAATGGCTGGGTGGCTGGGGTACCAGGGCGCGTGTGATGCCCCCCGTTGGCCATCCGCCCCTGTTGCCAGTCCCCGAGGGGTGGTCTGCCAGACCGTCATTTGCAAGAAAGGGCGCGGGGTAGGATGAGGAGAGGGCGAAGAGGGGGAGCACACAGGCAAACCGATTTGAAACAGCAAGACTGGTTTGGTGAGCGAGTCTGGGTGCGAGTAAACCTGAATAACAGTGAGTCTGAGCTTGAGAGAGAGTGAGTGCGAGTGGCTCTGAGTGTGAGCTAGCTCGAGTAGATGTGTGTCCAGTGAGTGAGTTTGAATGGGCGTGAGACTGAATATGAGTGACTGAGTCTGGGTATGAACGAACATGGCTGTGAGCGTGTGTGAGCTGGAGTGAGTTAAGAGAGAGGAGGCGGGCGATGAAGGGGGTGGACGCATCACACGAACCAATAGCCGCACGAGGGACACTGCTGTTTCCCGTCATTGATCTCAATCTATCACATACACATACATCTACAGCAGATGCACGTGGCATGTATTCATCGATATACGTATGTTAGCCGGCATGGACCCGAAAAAGTAAATGATTGCATTGTGGATGAGTCAGCTATGTGGTGCAAGCTAGGTGGTGCAACTAATTTCTGTCCGCAGTGAGTTGTCCACTCCACTGCTCGCGCAATTATACCACCCACCCACCCGCAACTTGGTTTGCGAACCTCATGCGGCGGCGATTGCGATGGGTGCTTGGCGCTGACTTGTGCATCTCTGCGGCCGCGCCAGCCCGCGCATGCGCGCGCGCAGCGGCCCGGTAGTTGGGCGCGACCGACGAGGCCGCGGTGGTGCTGACCGCTCGGCACATCCCAGCGCGCAGTTGGGTGCGAGCCGGCGGCTTGGGCAGGCGCGGTATCATGGCAACCTCGGCACCTGTAGACACGATGACGATGATAGTGGCGATGTTGGTGACGACAATTGTAGACAAGATGATGATGATGACGATGTTGATGATAGTGGCGATGACGGCGCCGATGCCGATCATGCCGACGGCGATGACGGCGTCTTCGCGTCGGTGATGAAGGTTTTGGAATTCGAAATGCGCGCACGGCAGACGCGCGAGAGTGGCTCGCATCGACTTATTTGACACGGATCGTGCCACCCCAGCACGCGCGCAAGGGCGTTCGACATGCGCGCGCGAAGCCCGTTTGGCTGCAGTCACGAAAATGTTGAAAAATTCAGTTTTCTTAAGAATTCGCAAAGGCGCGCGCGCAGGCTTTTGTTGAAAACCCGCGTTGCGAAACAATGTGTTTTTTGATCGTTTTGTTTGGACACTCGATTTTGAAACCCCTCCGAAAAAGAAGGCTTTTGAAAGATTTCGGCACGCGCGCGCGACGACGCGCGCGCGCGCATCTCGTCCTCTGTTTGACAAGGGGTTCTTGCGACGACACGCGCGCAAGGGCGCGCGAAGCCCGTTTGGTTGTATTACGAAACCTATAGGTGTTGTTTTAAATGTTTTTTGGACACTCGAGTTTGTAATCCTTCTGAAACCGAGGGTTTTAGAAAGATTCAGGCATGCGCGCGCGACGACGCGCGCGTTCGCACTTCGTTTCGTTTGTTGCCAGGGACTGTGGGGAACTTATGATTTTTGATAAACGAATGCGCGCGCATTGTATTTTTGGCCCGGGAACCGACGGGGGGTCGATACCAACCTTGCTGGGATAGTATGAATTCACATGTAGGATGGACATTGGGTCAAAATCGGATGTGTTCTACATCGTTTCCCGGTGAGTGGATACGTCAGGGGGGGAAGGGTGGTAGGATTTATATATATATATAATGGCACAATAATCTACGTGGTGCAAACAAGAAGCGGACACGGGCAGCAGCGTGGCGAAACCCCGCCGGACCTACCCAGCGCACGAGGATGCCACGAAGCGACCACGAGCGGCAACGTGGCAAAACCTTGCAGGACCCACCCAACACACGAGACTGCCACCAGGCGGCCACGGGCGGCAACGTGGAAATTGACTGGCACAGTCTGCCAATTCCTTTGTAAGATGTCACTTGTTGCACTGTGGAAGCTACGTGGTGCAAGCTATGTGGAGCATTCCAGATAGGGCCTTGCCTTCGAGGGTCGAAGGAGTTGTCATGTGTTCGTCGGCGGAAGGCGGCGGAAAGTCGGCGATAGGCCTGCGGAAACTGGCAGAAGTAAAAGATGCGCCCCCAAGGGGTCGCAATCTTTTTGGGTTCAGGGTTTCCCGAATCCGCCACGTGGTGTAAATTATGTGGTGCAATCAATCACTTGCTCAACTTGAAGCTGTCCCCTCCATTGCTCGTGCAAACATCACACCCTCCCACCCGCAACTTGGTCGCAAGACCTCTTCAGACCGTGACGGTATGTACCAAGTCGCATGTGGCAACCACACCGACGACGACGACGACGACGCCGACACCGACTACGACGACACCGACGACGTCTCCAACGACTTCGACGACGACGACGACGACGACGACAACGATGACGACGACGACGACGACGACGACGACGACGACGACGACGACACCGACGTCGACGACGACGACGACGACGATGACGACGCCTACGCCGACGCCGACGACGACGACGACGACGACGACGACGATGACAACGACGACAACGACGGCAACGACGACGACGATGACGACGACGACGACGACGACGACGACGACGTCGCCAACGACGACGACGACGACGACGACGACGACGAGGGAGGAGGGAGGACGACAACAGCGACAACGACGACAACGACGAGGGAGGAGGGAAGACGACAACGACGACGACGACGACGACGACGTCGACGAAATAGGAGGGACGACGAGGAGACACCGGCGACGGACGACGACGACGACGAGGGAGGAGGGAAGGACGACCACGGCGACAACGACGACGGAAACGACGACGACACCAAGGAGAACGACGACGAGGACGACGACCACGACGAAGACGACGAGGAAAGACAGAGGACGACGACGGCGACGACGACGACGACGAGGAAGGAGGGAGGACGGCGACGACGACGACGACGCAACAGCGCGCGCACACGCTTTTGTTGAAAATACGTGTTGCGAAACCCTGTGTTTTTTCTGTGTCTTTGGGAAACTCGATTTCGACATCCTTCCGAAACCGAAGGTTGTGGAAGCATTTCGGCATGCGCGTGCGCGACGACGCGCGCGCGTGCACTTCGTAACTTCTGTTGCAGAGGATTCTCGCGACGGCACGCGCGCAAGGGCGTTCGAAAGATTTCGACATGCCCGCGCGCGAAGCCCGTTTGGTAGGATTGTTTCAAAATATTGAAAAACATATGGTTCCTTAAGGTTTCGCAAGAGTGCGCGCGTAATTTTGTTTAGGAAATCAGTGTTGCGAAACCCTGTGTTTTTGTATGTGATTTGGAAACTCGATTTTGAAATCCTTCCGAAACCGCAGGTTTTTGAAGGATTTCGGCATGCGCGCGCGACCACGCGCGCGTGTGAAATTCGTTTTTTTGTGCAAAGGATTTCTGGAAACTTGTAATGTTTGATAATCCAGTGTGCGCGCATAGTATCTGTTGCAGAGGATGGCGGGGCGGATCGATACCGGCATGGCTGGGATAGTATGAACTGACGGGTAGGATGGGCATCATGTCAGAACCCTATATGTTTAGCATCGGTTCCCGGGGTCTTTAACCCGGGGGGGGGGGAAGGGTGGTAGAACCTATTCTTCTTCTAGAAAGGAGAATTTACGTGGCGCAAGGAATGTGCTGCAAGCTGGGAGGTGCAAGCTGCATGGTGCAAGCTATACGGTGCAAGTTCTGGGGTGTGGCAAACGGTATGCGGTGCAGGTTGAGTGGTGCAAGACATGGGATGCAAGTTACGTTGGGCGGCCACGGGCGGCTACGCGGCGGCCACGGGGCGGCCATTAAAGAAAGCCTTCGACACCACCCACCACCTCCCTTGCAGCACAAGCAAGAACCCCCAAGTGCAAGCACTGCTGCAGCGAGCCCACATCATACATTCGAGCTGACGCCGACAGAAACAGCGAGAACAAAAACAGGCACGCCAACGAACCATCAAACACGAGCCGGCGGCGGGCGCGACCGGCATGGCCGCAGCGGGGCCCCCCAAGGCAGCGGCCGCGGCCGCGGTGGCGACGGCGGCTTCGCCGGCGCCGCTGAAGCGCCCGCCCCCGGCGCCGCCCCCGGCGCCGGGGGGGGCAGGGGCGGCCAGCCGAGGGGCGACCGTCCGCCCAGGGCGGAGCGCGGCAAGGACCTTTCGGGGGCAACGACAGGGGGGGGGACAGGCATACAGTCAAGGCGCTGAAATAAGGAACAGTTTGGGTTCGGAAGGGGCTCGATGTTCCTCAGGTTCCTCCAGTGCTGTTCCTCTTGCCCTCCTGGGGCGCGGAGGCGCTTACAGGGCCAAGAAGGGGCTTCGTTCCTTACTTAGGCGTTCCTTCTATCAGCGGCCCGACTGTAGGGAGGGATGCATCGACCCCCAATGCCTCATTGATCGCCGACAGGGGCCCGAGAGCCCCAAGCTGCCCAGGAACGTGCGGAGTCACGATCGGGGGCTGATCGCCGATCTGTCGGCGATGTATCGCCGACTTCGGGTCGATGTTTTTCCCCTGTGCCAGTCCCCCCTATCGTGGCCCCCGACCTTGGGTGCAAAAGCGGCTGCTTTCTCTGAGCTCAGTTCGGCCACGCGCAGAGGGGGTAGGGGGAGGGAGGAGGATTTCTCAGAAGCACCCCTGCCTCTTAGAAGGCGCGGACCTTTTCTGTAGGTGTAGGGCCAGCGCCCTCTAAGAAGCAGCCTCCTTCTAAGAGGCCTTCCCCCCTCCCCTGCATCACCTTGGGCGCGCGGCCAAGTTCCGTGAGGTCATTTCGGCGACTACAAAGGGTGCAGTTACGATACACAGGGAGCGAATTGAGGCATGAAGGCGGAAAGGAGTTGAGCACGAGGGGGGAGGGCGGAGGAGCCCGCTCAGACCATGAATCAGGAGGGGAAAAACACACAGACACAATTAATCGTCGATTCCCAGGAAAATATGGAGAATATGGGCAGTGGGGGGGAAGACGAAAACCCAGAAAACATGGGAAAATATAGGGGATCCTTTTATCTGTGTGTATCTATTTGTGTGTCCCAGGGCCCCTTCAAGGAAAGCCGGCGCGGGGATGCCGTAGTAGATCTCGCATGCGAGTTTGCGCACGAGCAGCGGAAGCCGAAGCCGGCCCGGTGCTCTGAAGGCCTCGAGAGAGGCACGGGGCGCCGAGGTGCGGGGGGAGGGCCGCAAGCAGATCACAGCGGCAGGGCAGGGGGTCCAGGTGAAGTGCTTGGCATCGCTCGGACGTGTACGTTTTTTCCTTCGGCGAGGGCCACCGAGGAGCATCCTTGATCATTTGGCGAAAAAAAAAAACACGCACGAAACCGAAAAAACACAGGGAACGGACGTCCGAGCGATGGCCAGAGTGGCACACGCGTGCAAATTGCGACTCGGCGAAGCGGAGCCGAAGACCATGTAGAGGAAGGCCTTGAAGTGGTGAACCTGATGAAGTGGCCGTGCCTGAACAGGTGCAGGAAGGTCCGAAACCGAGTTGAGGGACCCATGGGCTCAGAGCAGTGCCAAGCAAAAGTGGCCGCGCAGACACACCGGGTGAACGGCCAAATGGTGACGGTCAGGAAGACGCAAACGCGCCGCAGGGCGGTGGAGGCAGGAGCATTTCCCCTGCCTCAGGGTCGGCTCCTTTGCTGAACAGCACAAGGAAGACTCTGCGGGGACAGCCTAGAGGCAGCGACCAGGACTAGTGAAACAGGGTATTGAGTGGGCAGGGAGCCCAGAGGGCAGAAACCCGACCAGCAGCAGGAAGCCCAGTGGGCGCAAACCCGACCAGCGCAGGAGAACCAAGGGGGCGACAAGCTTGGACAGCGCGAGAGAAGACCAGGGTCACACAACCGTCCAGCGAACCGGGTGCCGGGGCCAGGTGCGCAGTGGCCGCGTCCAGGGTCACAGGTCCGCGGTTGGGCTCGCGGACCGCCCCCCGTGCTGGTGCCGCGGCAGCGCCACACCCTCTCGCTCGGCCCACTCCATAACCTCGTGTCCAGCGGCCGCGAGCCTTCGGAGGAAGACCGCACACTGGGCAGCTCGCCGCCTCCCAAGGTCGAAGGCGGCGCTCCGCCCACCCTCGCCTTGCGCCGTGCAGAACGCGCGCCGACCACCGACAAACGCGGACCCCGCAACGCGGCGGAGCCGTTTGACGCCGTCGCCAGGTGTCTCGCAAACGAGGGGTTCCCAGCGGATCAGCCCGCAACTGTACAGCTTGTCGGCGTCCCCCGCCGTGGTTACCTCGCGACAACCTGGCCCTTCGCTGGGCGCCCCCGAGTTGTCGCGGCCGCGGACCGCCCCGCCCTCCCAGGCGGCGGAGGCGATCAGCTCCATGGCCGAGACGGGGGCGCTGGTCGACGCCAGGGGCTGGGCGTGTGCAGGGCTCGGTGGCCGATCGTGGCCCCCAGGGTTGTCAGGGCCGCTGTCGGCCGCGACCTCGGCCAAGGCGTCGGGCAGGACGTCGAGCGAGGCGCCGGCACGATCGCGGAGGGGAACCTGGGCTCCCGCGCCCTGCTCCTCCGCGACAGCATCGACGTCGTCGTCGTCGTCGCCCACACGGAGCAGAGTCGGCACGGGTGGGGGTCGGGTCTTCGGCCGCCGTCGCGGCCAGGCGACGGCGGAGCGGCGGCCTCCACCGAGGGGGAGCCGTGCGCACCGTGTCCCGCCGTCCAGGCCGGGCCAACCCGCTGCGGGAGCGCCGCTTTCGCGCTGCAGGGGCGCGCACCGCTCTCCAGCCACCAGGCGGAAGATGGCGGCGGCGTCTGCCTGCCTCTTCGGAGGCGACAGCGGCCGCAGCGGGAGCCCGTGCACCGCCGCCGTCGCCGGCCCTTGCCCCCTGGAGGAAGCCCCCGCACTGCAGGGGCCCATCTGGCCCCTCGCACGTCACCCCCCAGATGGGCTCGGGACGAGCAGCGCATTGAGGGGATTCCGTGCTGCCGCTCGAGCGCTCACACCGTCGGACGAAAGGCCGGGGGCGGCTGGCGTGACAGAAGCGGGCCGCCTCGCACAATGTCGAGCATGTCCAACTCGCGTTCTCGATAAGGTCAAGACCAGGAGGCAGCACCCCAAGCCTTGAGACGGGATCAGGGTCCTGGGCCGAGCTGGGGCGACGCGAGACAGAGAGCGATCCAGGTGTAGACGCATCCGTAGGGTGAGCAACCTGGGTCTGGGCACTGCTTGGTACCTCTTCCTCGTCCCGGGAGGAGCCGCCCCAGGTACCCCAGTCCTCGTCTCGCCCAGGGCTCGTGGGCTGCTCCCCGAGGTCCGCACGTGGCCCGTGGCCTGCGGCCTCTCTGCGCCTGCCCGCCCTGTCAACAGAGACACGGCCGAGATGCGACGAGAGCCCAGGGCATCGTGGGACGAAGGATGGCCTCCACACCAGGTCGGCGAGAAGCCGAATCAGAAGGGTGGGAATCAGCGTCATGATATCCTGAAAGGCCCGCACAGGCAAGCTCCCCAACCATTTCAGCCTCAGGGCGGCGAAAAGCCGACCCGTCACGTGCGAGCGGTTGAAATATCATACGGGGACCATCGGAACCAAATCTTGGAAGAGCTGAGTCAACGTGTGAGGAGACAGCACCGCGAGAGCGCGTCAAAACTGGGTGACCGGTACCTCCCAACACCAGGGCGGCGAAAGGCCGAGTCAGCGTGGGAGGAATCAACCACACCTGAGCTGCCACGAGCCTGCGGACCGCCTGGGTAACACGGCTGGGGTGCTGGGAGGGGGGAAGTCCGCCAGGTTGCCGAGGAGCACGGACTGATGCCCTGGGCTGGGTGTCCTCGTCGGTAGACTGGCCACGGCCGCGAAAAGCCGGAACGTCGTGGAAGAATCGGCGGACGGACGGAGGGCTCTTTGGTGCCCCGCTGGCGTGCTGCTTGTCTGGGCCGCCTGGGGGGGTAGGCCCTGAACATGCGTCATCTCGATCCCAGGGCGCGTTCTGACCCGGATTTCGAGGCGGGTCCGCCCGTGACAGCGCCAGTATTGTTGCCGATCTCCTCCTCCTCCTCCTCCTCCTCCTCCTCCTCCTCCTCCTCCTCCTCCTCCTCCTCCTCCTCCTCCTCTTGACACATTTTCGGCCCGGGGGAGCTTTTTCCAGTCCCGGGGGTGGCCAGAAAAGCGGTTCGGGGTGAAAATCCAGCCTTTGGGAAGGAGCCAGACGTTTGGGGCGCCACGTCGTGAAAAAGCCACGTCAGATGTCTGGGGGACCGCACTCGTCGTCGTCGTCGTCGTCGTCGTCGTCGTCGTCGTCGTCGTCGTCGTCGTCGTCGTCGTCGTCGTCGTCGTCGTCGTCGTCGTCGTCGTCGTCTCCTCGGCCGTGAAGTGATCTTCGTCCTCAGATCCTGCTCCTGCTCCCGCTTTCCCTGGTGGCCTGCCGCGGGCGGCACTCTTCCTTTCCTTCGGAGGAGGCGAAAGAGATTGGGGGAGGGGGAGGGAAGGGAGGAAGGGAGGAAGAAGGAAGGAAGGAGAGGGAGAGTGGGAGGGAGGGGAGGGAGGAAGGAGGAAGAAGAAGAGGAGGAGAGGGAGTGGCTCGGAGGATGAGCAGGAGAAGGGGGAAGGGTGAGGAGGAACAGCCGTAGCAGAAGAGGATAAGGGAGGAGAAGGAGGAGGAGGAGGAGGAGGAGGAGGAGAAGGGGAGAAGGAGAAGGAAGAGGAGGAGGAGGTGGAGAAGAAGAAGAAAGGATGATGAGGAGGAGAAGCTCACCTGTGCTTCCTGTCTCCCCTGGGAACACCACAGCTCCCACCCGCAAGAATGTCCAGAGCTGGAGAGCGCGTCGTCGCGATCTCGTCGTTTGGGGGGAAAGAGGAAAAAGAATAGGAAGAAAAAGAAGAAGACGAATAATGATAAGAAGAGAAGAAGAGAAAGAGGAGGAGGAGGAGGAGGAGGAGGAGGAGGAGAACGGTGACGAACTTTCGCTCAGCGTGTGCGACACGCTAGCCACGTCCCAGTCCCCAGGCGTCAACGTCCGAGCTTTCCCCAGCCTCCCGCCCCGCGGAGCGGAGCGACGCGCTATCCATTTGCAAGGGATAGCCTTTCGCCGGGGCCGCCGCCGCTACACGCCAAACAAAAGCTCTTGACCAGAAGAAGGGAAGAGCATCATGTAGAAATCTGGTGCATCATAAAACAAATCTCAAGCACATATTCACGTAAACTTCCGGAGGTCTGCACGGAATTCTTAGATCGGCGTTGGAGCCCCCTGGCGGCGATTCTAGCGCCGCCCCTTGTGCGCTCCGCGCGCCAGGGAGGAGATTCCAGCGCCAACCCAAGAAATCCGCGAGGACTCCCGAAACTTTCTGCTCGTGTCGATATTTGTTCCTCTAGGGGAAGTGGGAGGAGGAGAGCAGGAGGAGGAGGAGGAGGAGGAGGAGGAGGACGAGGAGGGGCAGCAGCAGCAGGAGCAGGAGCAGGAGCAGGAGCAGGAGCGCTGCTCGGGCCCGCCCGGGGCAGGGCCGACAAGGCCTCGGCACTCGCCGAACGCATCCGGCAATTCACAGTCGCCCAGCCCACCGTCACAGCAGCCTATTTGGCGTGGTTCGTGCTGTCAAAATCAGTTGCTCATGCTCTTTCGTGCGACGCGCGTCTACTAGCCTCCCCGCTGCTGGGCGCTGTGGCCGAGCCTGTGAGCCATTTGATTGAGGATGTCATGACAACCGCGCTCCTTGGCAAGCGCCTCGGCGGCGACTCCCTGGTCCAGGCGCGCCTGTTTGGCAGCTGCCGCGGCATTGGTCTCCGGCGCGACGCTGAAGGCCTCATGGCAGACGCTGCACTGTGGGCAGCCTTGTGCGCGATGCAGGCCCGCGTCCCGATCTTGGCAGCGGGCCTCGGCGTGTCGATTCGCGTAGCGTAGGATTGCTGGCTCGGGCGTGGCCGTCGCACTCGACGGCGCCGTGCGGCTCACAGCTGAGGCGCGAGCAGAGAATGAGGCCAGCCCGTGGTCCGCCGACGCGGGGGTATCTCAACTCGGCGCCCTGGAGGCGGTGCCCCAGCCGACGCTGCCCTCGGTCGAACACGGTGCTTGCCCAGCCCGCCTGCCCAGGCGATTTGCGAGCCGGATCTTCCGCCATTTGGACGCTCTCGCTGCGACGAGGCTGTAGGGCGATTTGGCACTCGGCGGGAGGAAGGCTTGCTCTCGGCAGGTGGCCCGGGCGCTGGTGCATTCTGGATGCAGCTCCCTCTCCGCCAGGACCAACAATTCCCGAGTGGCTACTTCCGCGCTGCCACCTTGCGCCGCCTGGGCGTGCCACCTGCCGCATGCCTTGCCGCGCGGGGGACGGGCGCGAGGTGTGCGGGCAGGTCCTCGACCCGACCCTTCGCCACCCGCAGCTGTGCAAGCAGGGCCCTGCGCGCACGCGGCCGCACCAGGCCCTTGCAGCGGGGCTCATGCGGCAGCTTCGGGCATGCCGTGCCGAAGTGGACTTGGAGCGCACCGTGCCGCACGTGCCAGAGCTCGTGGTCCAGGAGGCCATTTTGGATTTTGGACTCCGTGGTCACGTTCCCGTGCGCAGTGCAGCCGCTGTACGTGGACCTCACCATCCGCTGCCCACACGCCACCCGATATGAGCACGCTGACACGCGCCTTGGCGAGGCCGCGTCTGCGGCGGCGGAGGCCAAGCGGGCCCGGTACGGGAGTATCGTCCTCCCCGTCGCCATCGAGACCTACGGACGGATCGACGCCGAGAGCCTGGGGTCCTTGGACTTGCTGGCGGTGCACGCTGGTTGCTGCATGCGGGACGCTTGGGCGGTGCCGCGGCTGCTTCCGAGGTGGCGAGCTGCCCTTGAGCGGGTGGTCCACTTCGCCGAGGCAGACGTGGATTTGCTTTCCTTCGGCTGCGACCCGACGCTGGCGGAGGCGCGAGTTGCGCGGGTGTGTGTGTGTGTGGTGTGTGTGTGTGTGCGGCGCGGTGGGCGCCGTCGTTTAATTTGTTTATGATGTTTCCGATCCGGGCCCAACTGTGCAGATCGCTAGTCGCGCGAGCAATAGCAGGGGCAGGAGGAAAAGAAGAATAATAATAAGGTCTGACGAGCACGATGGAAGCAGGGCGAGGAGGAAAGGGTGCCACATCTGCACCCGAGTCCGCGCTGCCAAGACCTTCTTATTCCTTATCATTCCCCTCCTCCTCCCCTTCCTTCCCCCCCTCATCATCATCAGCAGCAGCATCATCATCAGCATCCTCCGCCTCCTCCTCCTCCCCTCTTCCTCCTCTTTTCGGCGAAGGGCTGGGAAGCGGCCCACAAAGGCCGCGCCGCACGCAGCACTCGCGCTCGCGAGCATCGAAACTAGGGGAAATACTCCCCATCTTCCTCCTTTTTCTCCTCCTCCTCCTGATCCCCCTCATCCTCCTCATCATCCTCGTCCTCACCACCATCATCATCATCATCGTCATCAGCAGCATCATCATTTTTATCATCATCACCAACATCATCAGACATCAGCATCATCCGCATCAGCATCCTAATCGTCATCATCAGCATTGTCATTTTTTCATCATCATCATCATCACCATCATCATGATCACCAGCATCATCGTCATCCTCATCCTCACCACCACCATCAGCAGCATCATCATCAGCATCATCATCGTCATCATGATAATCAGCATGGTTGTCATCATCATCATCGTCATCAGCAGCAGCAGCATCATCATCAACAGCAGCCTCATCATCACCCTCATTATCAGCAGCAGCATCAGCATCAGCATCATCAGCAGCATCCGCATCATCATCAGCAGCAGCATCATCATCAGCAGCAGCATCAGCATCATCATCATCATCATCCGATTATCGTTTCGATAACACTGGTAACACTACACAGCACGCCCGCGCAAGCACAGAAGACACGCACCTGACGCGGCTCAGCATACCTGCGCCTTGTCGACAAATTGGCCGGCGACCCGGAGCGAAAGCCAAACTACAGTGTGTTTCCGACCAGGAAGTGGGCACCGGTGCCCCACCACATGCAATCAGAAACATATTCCCCAGTGTGTCCTTGCGCCGGAGGCGTACACCCTTGGCGTCCAGCGAGTGCCCCTCACCCGACCAGGAAGGGGTCACGACCACCCCATACAATCAAGCGCACGAAGGCCTTGACCAAGGACTCCACTTGCCGCCGATCTTTACGACGGAGGGCCGCGCACCGCCACGCCACGACGCAGAGCCATCGCCGCACAAACGCTGGCTCAGGGGCCTTGAGCGAATCCCCCCCATCGCCCCTCATCGCCCTCCCCCCCATCGCCTTCCTCAGCTCATCGCCAATCCCTTTCAGCTCCAGCCACCCGAGGATGGAGAAGGCAAGGGCCGTGGAAAGGCAGGCCTTGCTCTGCGAGCCTCGTTCGCTCTGTCTCCCTGATTTGCGCGCGGTGGCACCTGCTGCTTTCGTCGACGTTCGCACGCTCTCCAGCCGCCTCGCTCAGATGACAGCCGCCGCCCTCGCTCTGGTTTTGGGCCATACCGGGTCGCGCCAGCCACCCGCTCTCGAGGACATCCCCTCCGCCTCGGGGCCAGCTCGGTGCGAACAGGCGGCGAGGGTGTTCAAGAGCGGGGGGCCAATCCCATTAAGAACAAAACATGGGCCGCATGCTCCCCTCTGGTTCACCCCTGCCCTGGCATCCGGGGCGCCACGAGAAAGTGTCACGGCGGGTTTCTTCGCCGCGTCGCGGGCCACGGCCGCCGAGGGGAGGCTTCGGAGGAGGGCGGGGTCGAGCGCTGTGGTAGCGACGCCAGTTGTCTGGGTCGCGCATGTGCCGCTGCCACACTTCCTGGCACTAGCCTCTCCTCCATGTCACACGATTCGCGCAACGCCTAGCGAGAAGGGGAAAAATGAGGAGACGAAGTGAGGGGGACGGAGTCGTTCCAACAAACGGGAACATTGGGGCGATTGCGTGGGACACGCGTTGCGATTTGGACTCCCGCCGCATTAGGTTGCGCATCGCCTTCGAGACATGTTCCAGTACTCTGGTCACCTGTTCTTGATCATGTACATTTATATAGAAGAACATATGGCTGCAGTCTTCTAGGTGGAAATCTTTCTGTGTGTGTCGGCACCTCTCTTTCGTTGTGTATCCAGATGCGTTTTTGTCCCCAGAAAGTCCTTATAATGTGCTCTTCAAAGGAACTGGGCCTGAGCGTCGGTCTTGCGGCTATGTTACCGCCGTCGCCGCCTCGTCGCCGCCCGGCATGCGGGGCTGTGCGTCGGTCTGGCGGCTATGTTGACGCCGTCGCCGCCGAGTGGCCGCGCCACCTCGTCGCCGCCCGACGGCTGCGGCTGTGGGTCGGTCAGGCTACTATGTTGCCGCCGTCGCCGCCCCGTCGCCGCCTCACATAGATTGCGTCGCATAGATTCTCCTTTTCTGAAAACTGAATAGGATCTCCCCCCCCTCGGCGTTATCGGTACCCCTTTTTGGGTATGTAAATCATATGTGGATTCTGACCACATGTCCATCCGAAATATGAACTTACACAATCCCAGGCCGGCCGGTATCCACCCCCTGAGGTTCCCTTGTAAAAAACAGTATGCGGTGACATTGTTTGTTTGTTCTAACATAACACTTTTGCACGAATCCCTTGCAAAAAATGGGACGAAGTGCGCACGTGCGCGTCGTCGCGCGCGCATGTCGAAATCCTTCAAAAACCTTCGGTGCCAGAAGGGTTTCGCAATCGAGTTCCAAAAAAACATACAAAAACACAGGGTTTCGCAACACTGATGTACTAAAAAAACTTCCGCGCGAGCTCTTGCGAAATCTTAAAACCATAGGTTTTTCAAGATGTTCACAAAATGCTCTTAAACGGGCTTCGCGCGCGCGCGCGTGTCGAAATCTGTCGAACGCCCTTGCGCGTGTGCCGTCGCGAGAATCCTCTGCAAAAAACGGGACGAGGTGCAGACGCGCGCGTCGTCGCGCGCGTATGCCGAAAACCTTCAAAACCCATCGGTTTCGGAAGGATTTCAAAACCGTGTCTCCAAAAAGCATACAAAAACACAAGGTTTCGCGACACAGATTTTCAACAAAAGCGTGCGCGCGCTCTTGCGTCGTCGTCGTCGTCGTCGTCGCCGTCCTCCCTCCTCCCGCGTCGTCGTCGTCGTCGCCTACGTCGTCCTCTGTCTTTCCTCTTGTTCGTCATCGTCGTCCTCTTTGGCGTCGTGGTCGTTTCCGTCGTCGTTGTCGCCGTAGTCGTCCTTCCTCCTCCTCCCTCGTCGTCGTCGTCGTCCGTCGTCGGTGTCTCGTCGTCGTCCCTCCTATTTCGTCGCCGTCGTCGTCGTCGTCGTTGTCGTCGTCGTCTGCCCTCCTCCCTCGTCGTTGTCGTCGGCGTCGCCGTCCTTCCTCCTTCTTCGTCGTTCGCGTCGTCGCCGTCCTCCCTCCTCCCTCGTCGTTGTCGTCGTTGTCGTCGTTGTCGCCGTCGTCGTCCTTCCTCATCCCTCGTCGTCGTCTTCGTTGGCGTCGTCGTCGTCGTCTTCGTCGGCGTCGGCGTCGGCGTCGTTGTCGTCGTCGAAGTCGTCGGAGACGTCGTCGGTGTCGTCGTAGTCGTTGTCGTCGGTGTCGTCGTAGTCGGTCTGAAGAGGTTTTGCAAACCAAGTTGCGGGTGGGTGGGTGGGATGTTTGCGCGAGCAGTGGATATGACGACTTCAAGTTCAGCAGAGTGGATTGCACCACATGTATTGCTCCACATACATGATTTCACATAAATTCTCCTTTCTAAATGAGTAATAGGTTCTACCCCCCCCCGGACTTATCGGTTCCCCCGCGCGTGCTGCAAATCACATATGATTCTGAGCACATGTCCATCCTATATATGAATTCATATCATCCCAGCCAAGCCGGTATCCCCCCCCTGCGGTTCCCTGTCAAATAACACTATGCGGGGACATTTTTCTTTCTAACATAACACTTTTTCACGAATCCCTGTCAAATAATACCATGCGGGACACATTCGCGCGCGCAAGACGAAATCCTTCCAAAACCTTAGTGTTCGTAGCGATTTTAACATAAAAACATCAAAAACCCAATGGTTTTTCAAACAAAAAAAAAGTTTCAAACGTTCACCCCGCGCGCTCTTGCGGATTCCTAGGAAACCCACTACTTTTTCAACATTTCTGTCAAAAGGGCTCTTGCGAGCAACTTTTTCCTGCGCTTCGAACTTCTTCAACAACGGCTGCGCGCCTGCCAGGGGCATAATCCTTGTCAAATAATGCCATGCGGGACACATTCGTTTTTTCTTCGCGCGCGCGCCGAAATCTTCAAAACCATTGGGTGTTTTGAGAATTTCAGCACTGCGTATCATAAAAACACACGAATCGCACCGTAGGTACTCGAAAAAAACCTGCACGGATTTTCAAAATTTTGCCCGCTCGCGCTGTCCGAACCTTCAAAATACCGAGCGATGTGCGCAAGACGACGACGACCACGACAGACGACGACGACGACGACGACGACGACGACGACGACGACGGCGGGGAAGACGACGACGACGACGACGACGACGACGACGACGACGACGACGGCTTCGGCGACGGCGTCGACGACGACGACGACGACGACGTCGGCGTCAGGTACTCGCTAGGAAGCTTCGCTGGGTACTTGCAGCCACGGTCTGGTGAGTTTTGCTGACCAAGTTGCGGGTGGGAGGGTGGGATGTTTGCTCGAGCAATGGAGAAGACAACTTCAAGTTCAGCAAATTAATGGCACCACATAGATTTCACAACATAGATCACCACTGATATTGCACAACATAGGTCGCACCACATAGACTGCACAAAGTTGATTGCACGACAAATTTTGCACGACGTAGATTGCAACACATAATTGCACGGCATACCTTGCACCATACAGAGCGCACCCCATACATTACTCCACATAGGTTTCACACCCTAGATCGCACGACATAGTTTGCACAACATGGATTGCGCGACAAATGTTGCAACACACAGATTGCACCACAGTGATTGCACCACATACATTGCACCGCACAGATTGCACCACATAGGCCGCACCACTCACATTGTAACACGAGATGGCACAACAGAGATTGAACCACATACATGGCACACATAGATCACACAGCATAGATTGCATCGCGTGGGTTGCACCACATCGATTCTCCTTTCTAAGAAGAGACTAGACTCTACCCCCCCCCCCCCTCTCTGGCGTTATCCCCCCCCCCTTCCGGGTACGTTAATCATATACGGTTCTGACAACATGTCCACCCGAAATATGAATTTACACTATCCCAGGGGGGGCGGTGTCGCTCCCCCTGAGGTTCCTTTCTAAAAAACAATATGCGGGTGCATTTTTTGTTTTAACATAATACTTTTTGGCGAACCCCTTGCAACAAATAAGACGAAGTGCACACGCGCGCGCCGTCGCGCGCATGCCGAAATCCTTCAAAAAACTTCGGTGTCGGATGGATTTCGCAATCGAGTTTCCAAAACACATACAAAAACACAGGGTGTCGCAACACTGATTTGCTAAAAAAGCTTACGCGCGAGCTCTTGCGAAATCTTAAGAAAACCATAGGTTTTTCAAGATTTTCACAAAATGCTACCAAACGGGCTTCGCGCGCGCATGTCGAAATCTGTCGAACGCCCTTGCCCGTGTGCCGTCGCGAGAATCATCTGCAAAAAATAGGACGAGGTGCAGACGCGCGCGTCGTCGCGCGCGTATGCCGGAATCCTTCAAAACCCATCGGCATCGGAAGGATTTCAACATCGTGTGCCCAAAAAACTACAAAAGCACAAGGTTTCGCAACACGGATTGTCAACAAAAGCGTGCGCGCGCGCTCTTGCGTCATCGTCGTCGTCGTCGTCGCCGTCCTCCCTCCTCCCGCGTCGTCGTCGTCGTCGCCTACGTCGTCCTCTGCCTTTCCTCGTGTTCGTCGTCTTCGTCCTCTTTGGCGTCGTGGTCGTTTCCGTCGTCGTTGTCGCCGTGGTCGTCCTTCCTCCTCCTCCCTCGTCGTCGTCGTCGTCCGTCGTCGGCGTCTCGTCGTCGTCCCTCCTATTTCGTCGTCGTCGTCGTCGTTGTCGCCGTCGTCTTCCCTCCTCCCTCGTCGTTGTCGTCGTCGGCGTCGTCGTCGTCTTCGTTGTCGTCGTCGTCTTCCCTCCTCCCTCGTCGTTGTCGTCGTCGGCGTCGCCGTCCTTCCTCCTTCTTCGTCGTTGTCATCGTCGCCGTCCTCCCTCCTCCGTCGTCGTTGTCGTCGTTGTCGTCGTCGTCGCCGTCGTCGTCCTCCCTCCTCCCTCGTCATCGTCTTCGTTGGCGACGTCTTCGTCGTCTTCGTCGGCGTCGGCGTCGTCGTCGTCTTCGTCGTCGTCGACGTCGG